AGGCGAGAGAGATTCCCCAACCCTCTCCAAGGCTGGGCATCACCCAGCCCCTGGGGACATGGCTGGCTGGCTCTCTGCTGCCCCTTGAAGCCAAAGGTAGGAGCAGCAGCAGCCTCTCTTGCTCAGTGCTAGAGGTGCACAACGTTCCTGCCTGGTGCTCTATGTGCATGACTTTACTGAAAGCTTCTACCAGGTTTCATTAGCCCCATTTTACAGATTTGGAAATAGAGACTCAGAGAGGCTAAGTATGTAGCCCAAGGTTGCACAGCTAGTAAATGGCAATCAGGACTCAAATCTAGGACTAGAGTTTAGGCCAGTGACTTTTCCAGGGGGAAAAAAGGAAGATGCAACAGAGAACATGATGGAAAAGGAGAAGAAAAATAGAGTGAAGTGACCCAGGTTGCAGCCTGTCATTCTCCCTGTCGCCTACAGAACAAAGTTCAAACACAAGGCCTCCCTGATTCAGCTTCTCTTCTGTTAACCCATCCCTGGATCCCTTGAATTCTGAGCTCTGCAAGGGCAAGGGATCTGTCAGATAAAGGCCTGGGTTCTCAGCACCTCGTGTGGCCCAGGTAGGTGTTGGTGAAAGTTGATTGAACTGAGTTCCTTGAAATTGTCTTCCACTTTCCTGCCTCAAGGCCTTTGTCCTCAGTGTTCCACCTGGAATGCCGTTTCCGCTTGCTCATGGCCATTCTAGAGCTATGTAGCCCCAGGGTCTGGCCCACTGGCAAGGTGTTTGTCTGTATTCTTTGCATCCCTCACTAAACAAACATAGCAGTAAATCTTTTTTGTTTGTTTTTCTTTTTCCTGTTTTCGGCCACGCCACACAGCATGCAGGATCTCAGTTCCCTGACCAGGGATTGAACCCGTGCCACAGCTGTGAAAGCCCAGAATCCTAACCACTAGGCCACTAGTAAATCTTTTAAAATTTTGTTTTATTTTTAAAAATAAAAAAAAAATGGGGCCTCCCTGGTGGCGCAGTGGTTGAGAGTCCGCCTGCCGATGCAGGGGATGCGGGTTCGTGCCCCGGTCCGGGAGGATCCCACATGCCGCGGAGCCATGGCCGCTGAGCTTGCGCGTCCGGCAAAGGGAGAGGCCACGACAGTGAGAGGCCCACGTGTTGCAAAAAGAAAAAAAAAAAAAAATTAAAAAAAATTTTTGGCTGCATTGTATCTTTGTTGCTGTGTGCTGGCTTTCTCTAGTTGTGGCGAGCGGGGTGCACAGGCTTCTCATTGCAGTGGCTTCTCTTGTTGTGGAGCACAGGCTCTAGGTGCGCGGGCTTCAGTAGTTGCGGCACGCAGGCCCTAGAGTGCACGGGCTTCAGTAGTTATGGCGTGTGGGCTCAGTAGTTGTGGTGCACAGGCTTAGTTGCTCCGTGGCATGTGGGACCTTCCCACATCAGAGATTGAACCCGTGTCCCCTGCATTGGCAGGCAGATTTTTAACCACTGTGCCACCAAGGAAGTCCCAGTAAATCTTTCTTTAAAGGAAAGGAGTGTCGAGAAGATTGGAGAAAGGAAGTGAGGGAGATAAGAGAAAAAGGAAGAATGGGAAGGATTCAGCATTTGTGGGCTGGCAAGGTCCATAGAGATCACTGGTGCTTTTTTTTTTTTTTTTTTTTTTTTAAACTAGTGAGGAAATGGGCCCAGAGGGAAGGGATTTGCCTCCCAGCAGGTCATTGCTAGGCCATGTGAGTTCCATGAGGGTCAAGGCCCATGTTTGTCAAGTTCATCGCTGAATCCCCAGTGTCCTGCACAGGCCTGGCTGGTAGGCTTGCATTGAATGAAACAGGGACAAAGCCTGAAGGAGAACCTAGTCACACAGAACTCCTGGTCACACTTTCTAAGGCTCCTCATTGCCTTCAAATTGAGTTGTTACACTGGCCCCTGCCACTCTCTATCCCTTTTTTGGGGGCTTCTTTTCCTCCCAGGGGTACTTGATCTTTATATAAGCTGTCTCTGCTCCTGGGATGTTTTTTCTCCATCATTACCCATTATTTTCTGGTGATGCTGTCAATCACCTGGCTGTGCTTGCATCTCAAGTGTAGGCTTACCTGTGGTTCAGCCTGGTCAATTGTAGTCTCCCATGTCCCTGACAGTGGTAATTGGCCCAAGGAATGTGCATGTGATTTAAGAAGGGCCAATCACTGGCCTTCCCAGGGATAGGTATACTGAGACTGGGAGAAAGCAGGTCTCCCTTCCTGGGATTTAAAATTTTTTTTTTATTTAGGCTGTGCCGGGTCTTAGTTGCAGCATGCGGGATCTTTAGTTGTGGCATGCGGGATCTTTTAGTTGCAGCATGTGGACTCTTTAGTTGCGGCATGTGGTCTTCTTAGTTGTGGCATGTGGACTCTTAGTTGTGGCATGCATGCGGGATCTATTTTCCTGGCCAGGGATCGAACCTGGGCCCCCTGCATTGGGAGCACAGAGCCCTAACCACTGGCCCGGAAGGGAATTCCCCCTTCCTGGGATTTCTAAGCTGACGCAGCCATGTTGCCATGTTCCCTGCCCAGAGGAGATAATCAGGGATGAGAGGAACAAAGCAACAGTCCTGGTGCAGTTGAATCCTTGATTCCAGCCCAATGGATGCCCTGGTTCCTATAGTTCTTCCTTTAATCACTAACATATCCTTCCCAGCAACTTGAAACTATCAATTCCTTTTTTGCTTAAGCTAACGTCAGTTGCTTGCAATGGAGAGACCTTATCAATACAGAAGCCGTTTTTTTTCCTCTCTAAAATTACAAGGGCCTCCTAAGGAGGGTGAGTACTGTTTACTGGCAGGGAGGCCCTTTTTCTGCAGAGCAGCAGAATGGGTTGTTAAGCAGAGTAGGACCTGCATGGAGTTTGGTGAGGATTGAAACAGCTGGATTACTTCACTTAATAGAAGAACAGAGAGTCCCGGTGGCAGGGCGGAGGTTGGGGGTGGTCTCCAGTAGGTAAGGGTGAAGGGGGAGAGGAGGGAGGGAGAGAGAAGCCAGCACTATGGCCTGAAGCCAGGGATTATTCTGGTGAACGGGAAAGAAAGGCATGGAGGGGCTTTTAAGAGCCAGGATGTTAAAGGACCGGGGCACTGAATGGTGAAATCTAAAGTCCAAGTAGATCCTTTTTGACAAACATCCTCTCTTCTTTCAATAAGCCTCCTACATCTGGGACTGCCTGGGAAGGAAGTCGTGGAAGTCGAAAAGGGTGGCTCTTTCTGGTGACCATGGGATTTGAAGTGCTCTGGGAGGCTTAGACTTCTACTCCATGTGGATTAGAGGAGGGGTGTTGAGTCAATCGTACTTAAATCTCAGGGGACAGGAGACTGAACCTGACCTTTGGGTTACATACGTTTTTTCCAATATTAAAACAATACAGGTTCATTAAAACAAAATTGGAAAGTGGGAAATATTCAGCTTCAAGGCAGCCTTCCTGTCATGGGCCCCTCCTATGCATGGATTTTGGGGCCTCAAGTCTGAGGATGCTGAGGAGTGCACTAGCATCACCTGTCATCTGGGGGACCCCAGGCACATTGCTTAAGGCTCAGTTCCCTCACCTGTAAAAAGGAATAAGAAATCGAAGTTTTCCAAATGACTTCTTCCCCAGTCTTCTGGCCCCACCAGTCCTAGGAGAAACCAAAGCTCAAGATGGACGGGGCAGCCCTAGCCCCTTCAACAAAGCCAGAGGTGCCCAGAGTCACAAAACAGCAGGTAGCAAAACCAAACTCCATCTTGGGAGAATTAAATGGGCCTGGTGTGGGTGGCCATTCTCGTTAACTTCTCTGTCCACCCCCTCCAGTCCCAAGCTTCTCTGGGCCCCCAGAGTCCAGCACAGTAATGCTAATTTTACTGGAGAGCCAAGGAGAGTGTTGGGGAGACGGATGAGGGCAGAGCCTGAGCAGAAAGGCGGCCCTGAAAGGGATCATGACCAGCAAGAAATGGGGGAAGGGCTTGGTGTCCAGGGAGAAGAAAGCAGAGTCGGAAGGGCAGGCCCCTGGGGCTGGGTCCAGGTGAGGAGGCAGCAGAAAGGAAGATGCCTTTGGATGAGGCGGAGCAGCGGGCGGGCCCGATCCGACGTGATAAACATACACGGCCAGCCCGGAGTGGAAAGAAGTTTATGCTGTGCTTTATTAAAATGTGCATCGTTCTTTTATTTTAAAATGTGCATCATTGTCTCCGGCTCGGCGCGCGCGACCTCAGCGTGGTGGCCTTTGGCGGGCCTCGTACACGCCCGGCTCCCGCGGAGCTACCGTGCGCAGGCGCACTCAGGTGGCGCGGACCCGGGGGCTCCCGCCCAAGGCCCGGTAGACGTCGATGGGCACGTGCAGCAGCGTCAGGCAGTGGCAGCCGGGGCAGCGTCGAAGCGGCCTGGGGAAAGCGGGGCGCGACAGGGGGCGCTGAGGCGGGAGCCGGCTCATCCTGTACGGGACGCATCGGGGAGTGCACTTGGGGTCCCTGAGGTTCGGGCGTGGATGTGGGACCTTACGTGGGGCAGGGGTGGGGCGGTCGGGGGACGGAAAGTGGGCCGGGGTGGGGCGGCGGGTAGGAGCGCCGGCCTCACCTGACTGGGTTGTGCTCCGTAGCTACCCGCTCCGGGTTGTCCTGGGTCTCGCGGGGGACGGCAAGGCCAGGGGAGTCTCCGGCCTCAATGGGGAATCTCCGACCCTGCGGGGCCTCCTGGGCACTCATGTCCGGGTCCCGAGGCGCTCTGCGCGGGGAGTGGCGGTCAGGCAGCTCGCGGGCCGCCGGGCGCCCCCTCCCCGCGCCCGCCCCTTGGGCCATCGCTTACCTGCCGGAGGCCGAGACCGGTCCCAGGCTGGAAGTAGCTGCCCAAGCCCTGGCCGCGAGAGGACGCTCCGGTCCAGGCGGAGCCGGGCAGGTGTCTGCGGCGCGCCCGGGCCCGGGCGTCGAGGGGGAGGGCTGCATTGTGACCCGGGCCTTGGCGCGCTGACCTTATAGAACCCGTTCCTCCCGCCGGGGAACCCCACGCCGCGCCGGCAGTTAGCGCGGCGCGAGCCGGTACTTGGAGGGCTCTTGCCATGGGTCGCGCAGACCCCAGCTGCCCGATGGGGGAGCAGGAGGCTGTGTCCGCGGAAAGGAGCCTGGCATCCCGGGCCGCGCGCAGACGTCCGGAGCGCCCCCCACAGGCGGGGCTGCGACTCACTACTTGGGGCGGGGACTGAGCGCAGCGGTGACTTAACCCGTTCTGGGTTTGGTGGTGGTGGTGAGGGCAGGCAGGGGGCATTGCCAATTTTGGCCAAGGGTCACACATCTACATCACAATTGGGCCAGAGTTTTAAAATGTCTGACCCACTCCCTCTCCACCACCCGCGGCTTGTGTGTCCAGACGGAGAATGTTCTAGTGCTGGGGGCTGCTGCGGATGAAAAGGAGCAGGCCAAGAGCGATGGTGGAGTAGCGCTGCCTCGCAGAGGCAGCATGAGCTGAGAGGGTGACAGGAAGGAAGGAGGTGCTAGACAGCATGGAGGGCTTTCTGCTCTCCAATGGGTACCAGCTGGGCAAGACCATTGGGGAAGGGACCTACTCAAAAGTCAAAGAAGCAGTTTCCAAAAAACACCAAAGAAAAGTGGCGATTAAAATTATAGACAAGATGGGAGGGCCAGAAGGTGAGCTGGGGCCCCCTTGGAGGAAGCAAGGGCTGGCTGAGGTGGGTGGGTACTTCCTCCAGTCAGAAGGATCATTCCCTCCTCCCCTTATAGTCTGGAACCAAGGAAAGCAAGAGAGACTGTGGCTCTGGGGTAGGTCAGTGGGGAACAGAGGGATGCTGGGAGTCCAGGGAAATCACACCCTCTAAAATCCACGATTAAAGTGGCAGGAGGTGAAGGATCCTCAGAAGCAGAGCCGGAGCCCACAAGGCCTTTCCTATTCCAGGAGGGGAACAGAGACTGGCGAGGCCACGGCCAGGGCTAGCAGAGGGCAGGAGCTGGAGCCAACGAAGGCACAGATGGGGAAAAGACAGGGTTCATGGAAAGAACTGTGGGTCAGGAGGCAGACGTGAGAGGAGCGGGCTCACCACGCTGTGGGCAAATCAGGCCTTGTAACAGATTCAATAGCCTTGTCTAAAAGTCCCTAATAGTCTAAAAGCCTAAAAGCACTTTGATATCCATGGTCTCACAGGCTGCTCACAACAGTCCCTGAGGCTGACAGGGAGTAGTTCCTTTCAGTAATATATTAACTACAAAAACAATAGAGGTGAACATTCTTTGCAGTGTCCAAGCAGACAGACATTAAAGACTATGAAAGGGAACCAAGGCACAAGACCCAGACATGGTGGGGAGATAGGCAGACAGAAGTTGGAAGGCAGCAGACAGGAGGGAGGAGTTAGGCCCTTCTGGACTTGATACTCCATCTCTTTTCCCTTGTTTCCGTAGAGTTTATCCAGAGATTCCTGCCTCGGGAGCTCCAGATTGTCCGTACCCTGGACCACAAGAACATCATCCGAGTGTATGAGATGCTGGAGTCTGCCGACGGGAAAATCTACCTGGTGATGGAGCTGGCTGAAGGAGGGGATGTCTTTGACTGTGTGCTGAATGGGGGGCCACTGCCCGAGAGCCGGGCCAAGGCCCTCTTCCGTCAGATGGTCGAGGCCATCCGCTACTGCCATGGCTGTGGTGTGGCTCACCGGGACCTCAAGTGCGAGAACGCTTTGTTGCAGGGCTTCAGCCTGAAGCTGACAGACTTTGGCTTCGCCACGGTGTTGCCCAAATCATGCCAGGAGCTGAGCCAGACCTTCTGCGGCAGCACAGCCTATGCCGCCCCAGAGGTACTTCAGGGTATTCCCCACGATAGCAAGAAGGGTGACGTCTGGAGCATGGGCGTGGTCCTGTACGTCATGCTCTGTGCCAGCCTACCTTTTGATGACACAGACATCCCCAAGATGCTGTGGCAGCAGCAGAAGAGGGTGTCCTTCCCCACTCATCTGGGCATCTCGGCCGAATGCCAGGACTTGCTCAAGCGGCTCCTGGAACCAGACATGATCCTCCGGCCTTCAATCGAAGAAGTTAGTTGGCATCCATGGCTAGCAAGCACTTGATAAAAGCAATGGCAAGTCCTCCCCAATAAAGTAGGGGGAGAAAGCAAACCCAAAAACCCACTTCTAAAATGGTGATATATATTTTACACTTTAAGTTTACTTATCCTAAAACTTACCTACACCCTCTCCAGCCTTACTTCTCTTT